TTTATTCATGCTTCTTGTGCTTGAGGGTCATTGAGCTTCTTTGTGTCTGTGGATTTATAGTTTTCATCAAATTTTGGGAATTTTTTCTTGTTTTCTCAAATATTTTTTCTACCCCTCCCCCTTCCTTCAGGGACACCCTTTCAGGAATTACACAACTTGAATTTTGTCCCACTGATGCTTTGCTATTTTTTTCCCAGTCTTTTTTCTCATTGTGTGTCATTGTGGATAGTTTCTCTTGCTATGTTTTCAAGTTCATTAATCTTTTCTTTTGTAGTATCTAATCTGCTGTTAATGCCATTCAATGTATTTTTCAATGTAGTTTACATCTCTAGAAGTTTGATCTGGGTCTTTTAAATATCTTCCATATCACTACTTAACATGTTCAAATGTCCTCTAGCTGCTTGAACATATGGAATAGAGTTATAATAACTGTTTTCAAGTTCTTGTCTACTAATTTTATGATCTAAATCATTTCTGGACCAGTTTCAATTTATTTTTCTCCTCATTATAGGTCATATTTTTCTACTTCTTTCCATACCTGGTGATTTTTGATTGGGTGGCAAACATTGTGAATTTTACTTTGTTGAGTCCCGGATATTTTTGTATCTCTGTAACTATTCTTGAGCTTTGTTCTGGGATGCAGTTCATTTACTTATAAAGAGCTTTTATCCTTTCAAGGTTTACCTTTTCAGTTTTGTTAAATGGGACCAGAGCAGATTCTAATCTAGGGCTAATTTTTCCACCCCTAAGGCTGAACCCTTCTACATACTTTACCCAATGCGCCATGAAATATGAGGTTTTCCAGTTCAGCAGTGGGAACAGGCACTATTTCCAGCTCATGTGAGCTTCAGAGATTATTCACTCTCTCTTTTCACATGGTTCTTTCTCCACCTCAGATAGTTTCCTCATATACATGTGCTGATCAATCCCCAGTTGACTACTCCTGGGAACTCTCTGAAGATCTCCAGAGCTCTGTCTCCTATCCTGTACTCTGTCCTGCAAGCTCTCACTGCCTTGGCTTCCCCGGAATCCCAACTGTCTTCTCAGCTGAAGAAGATAGCTTGGCTCAGCCTGCGCTCCTCCCCGAGACACTGGAGGCTGGAAACTCCCTGCAGGCAGTAAGCTGGGGCCATCGTAAAGCTCGCCTCTGTTGTTGTCAGTCTTTCAGGGTTTACTGTCCTATGCTGCCTGATGGCCAATGTTTGAAAATCCTTGTTTCATATATTCTGTCTAGTTTTTCAGTTGTTAACGGTGGGAGGGTGAATCTGGTCCCTGTTGCTCCTTCTTGGCCAGAAGCAAACATTTGATGTGGATGTTAAAGGGCAGAAGTTTGAGGATAAACTGGAAGGGATCCTCCAGATGGCTTGATTTCTGCTTTCTTTGAATCACTCAACCTCTTGCACATCACTGCATGGCATAATCTGACTTCTATAGTTAAGACTGGCCCTTCCCAAAACCAAATAGAGTCTAAAATCTCAGACTGTACTCCTTTAGCACCCACTGAGCATCTCACATAAAATCAATGCTTAAAAAAACTGTCCCCCAGACTGTAGATTAAAAGAAACTTAGAAGACATACTAAAAAATGGGCATGATCAAGCCATAGTGTCTAGGGATCCACATTTGGGTGATAAACCATAAAGAAACATACAGAAATGTCTTTATGTTCTTTTTGTCCTTACTATAGAAGTAATGACAGTGGTTACTTTTGGAGGGAGGAAGGGGGCCGTGATTAAGATGAGGCACATTGAAGCTTCTGGGTAGCTGAAGATCTATTTCTTGACATGGGTGGTGGTTACAAGAGTGTTTGTCTTATAATAATTCATTTGTTTCAGGTGCTTTTCTGTAGCTGGGTTTTATTATACAATAAACAGTTTTTTACTGATCTGTCTCATGAATGAATGAATGAATGAATCTAGGCATTGAGCATCCATGGTTGCAAACATCAAAAAAGAGAAACATCCATGCACCATGTGCCCCATGATGGAAGTACACACCACCACCTGTGAAGGAGTCTTAACAAAAAATTGAATCTAAATATGATCAAGCCTCTAGATCCAACTCCAAATTATAGGAAACACAGGGGACAGAGAAACATGAATTTAATAATTTTTAGTAAATGTATAGAGTTGTGCAACCAGCACTACAATCTCGTTTCATAAAATTTCCATCACACTGCAAAGTTTCCTTGTGCCTTCTGTAGTCAATTCCTGCTCTCACGTCCAGTCCCAGTCCTAGGCAACCACTGATCTGCTTTCTGTCTCTGTAAATATACCTTTTCTGGACATGTAATTTAAAGGGCATCATATAATGTGTGGTCTTTCGCTATTCTCTCTATGAGTGTAAAATTTTGACATTTTCCATAATAAAAAGAAAAAACAATTTTTGTTGAACAATGACTTACACTTGTATAGCACTTGTGTTTTGCAATGGGCTTTCACATACCTAGTGTCCCTGGGTGGTGCAAAAGGTTAAGTGCTAGGCTACTAACCTAAAGTTTGGCCTTTCAAACCCACCCAGAAGTACCTCAGAAGAAAGGCCTGGTGATCTGCTTCCAAAAGGTCGCAGCTAAGAAAACCCTATGAGCCCAGGTCTACTCTGCAACACAGGTGGTCACCATGAGTCAGAGTCTACTTGATTGACATTGGTCTGTCTGGTCTTCACATGCTTTAATTTATCTCATTTGCACTATATTCAAACCAGGTGAGTAAGAATGAATAACATTTCTTACCAATTTTACAGATGAGGAAACTGAGACTCAGAGGGTTTAAGGGACTTGACCAAGGTAACAGAGTTATTTAGTAACTGAATCAGGACTCAATTCTGGATTCCTGACACCTGGTGAGATATTTTCCCCTGTCACTTACCTCTCTCCTCTGCCCAGCACCCTCATTCCACCATCCTTTCACTTAGTGCCCCACCCTCCAACTCAGGCCTCTCTGCTTCAAGCCTGAAGGCCTGAGCTGCCAGCCATTCCTGGTTCTGCATCCTCACCCAGCCAACAGTGGATATAGAACCAATCTCAGGGTGCGGCTTCCCATCTGGAGAAACAGACAAAATATCCCTTTTACTTTCTCCTTCCCTTCCACCTGAGGTAGAAAGAAATGCCTGTCACTTCAGAGGTATGAGCCCAGAGGGAGAGGGGGTTGGTTCATCATTTTTTAAAGACACAGAGGCAAAAACAAAATGCTCTGTGTGTATATCTGCGTGTGTGTGTTCCTTACCTGGGAGGAGAGCTTGAGGGAAGGTGTGAGTGAGGATTAGAAGCGTTAAAGAGGTTACTCATCAAGTCAACCTCCATCTGGCACATGAAGCATTCTTCCTAAAGATGAGAGAGAGGGCACAAGAGAGTGCCTCTGTGGGCACTACGCACAGCTGTGTGTACATGTTATCCCACACCCGTGTATCTGTGCTGGGCCCATGAGTGGACAGAAATACCCTGAAATTTCTTTGTCTCTATAGCTTAGCATTTAAAAAAATTACTCTTGTGTCTTCTCTGTAACTCCATACTTTGGTATTTCAATAGTTCTTACTCAGGAAGAATACAGAAGAAACCACCATTGGTGCTTTCCTCTGGGGATGCACTTTCCACCGCATGCCCTCTTGTTCCATTTGAAGTTTTTGGTCATTTGTTTTTGTTATTTTCATAATGAAATGAGGGGAAAATCATTATTATTACTGGTGAGCAACGGTGCATTTGCCTGTTTCCCTGAAGATACTGCTTGTATTAGTCCACAATAGGGCTCACCAGATTATATATAGAGTGCTGTTAAATATATTGTTGTTCTGTGCCATCATGTCGATTCTGATTCATAGCGCTGTCAAATATATCATCTCATTTAATCCACTCATTCATTCAACAAATATTTGATAAATGCTTTCTATGTGCCAGGCATAGTTCTAGAAGCCAGGGATACAGCAGTGAACAAAAGAAACAAAAATCCCTGCCCTCCTGGGAATTCACATTCTAGTGGGTGTAGAAAGACACACAATAAAATAAATGATACGGCATATGAGAAGGAGAAAAAGTAAGGCAGGGAAGGGTGATAGAGAGTCCTGGGGGATGGGAGGCTGCAATATTAAATTGGGTGGTCAGGGAAGGTGACACATAAACCAAGACTTGAAGGAGGTGAGGTAGTGAGCCATGAAGCTACTTGGGAGGCAGAGGGAACAGCAAATGCAAAGGCTCTGAGGCAAGAGCATAGCTGGCATGTCTGAGGAACAGCCAGGAAGCCAGTGTGGCTGGAGAAAAGTGAGCGAGAGTAATAGGAACTGGGATTGGAGAAGTAAAAGGTATATGAGGCCATGTGGGACTTTTGATTTTTACCCAAAGTGGGATGGGAGCCCCTAGAGGATTTGGAGCAGAGGAAGGTCATAATCTAAGTGTTCACAGAGTCAGTCTGGCTGCTGAGCGGAGGATTAACTAGGGAAGTGGGAAAGGAGCCCTGGTGGCTCAGTGGTTAAAGGGCTTGCCGCTAACGGAAAGGTCTGCGGTTGGAACTCATCAGCTGCTCCTTGGGACAAAGATGTGGCAGTCTCCTTCGGTAAAGATTACAGCCTTGGAAACCCTATTGGGCAGTTCTACTCAGTCCTATCCAATCGCCATGAGTTGGAATTGACTCGACGGCAATGGGTTTTGTTGTTTTATTAGGGAAGTGGGGACACCTGTTGGGAGGCACTATTCACAGTGAGAAGAGGATATGAGCCACTGGAACGATGGAGTTGCAGAAGCGGGTGGGATAGGGAAAACCAGGAGTGAAGATGCGTGATACGGACCCGAATGAGAAGTCCAGAGGGACGGGGAGGGATGCGTTCGCGAGAGGGTCCCAGCTGGGGATAGGCCAGCGTCTGCATGGTGACACGACACTCCCATCTCGTCGTTTCCATTTCACAAATGTAAACACCTCGGGGCTGAGAACGCTGCGCAGGAAGCCCCGGGTGGGGGTGGCGGGTCACGTGGCCGCGGGTTGGCGCCCCCTGGCGGTGCGGCGAGAACGGCAGCGGTGGCAGCAGGGATGGCGGCGGCGGTGGCCGGACCGCGGGAGCATGGGGACCTGGGGGAGCCCGGCAAGCCGGGCCGCCTGGCCCTGTACTTCTGCGGGAGCATCCGCGGCGGACGCGAGGACCGGGCGATGTACGAACGGATCGTGTCGCGGCTGCGGCGCTTCGGAGCAGTGCTCACCGAGCACGTGGCAGCTGCCGACCTGGGCGCGCGCGGTGAGGCGGTCGGGCCGCGGGTGGGACAGGCCGGCGGGAGCGGAAGGGGATCCAGGTCCCCGTCCCTCCCTACCGAAACTGCACTCCCCGCAGGCGGTGACCGCCCTTGACTTCGTGGCGTGTGTCCATTGCCGGGAGCCCGCCCTCTTGCCGCAGGCGCTCCATCTAGCGTCGTTGGTCTAGAGGGAGACGAGGCCAGGGCTCAGGGCGACGTGTGTCCGAATACACTTGGCGGTGTGAGCCCAATCTCATCATTCAGTTATTGACCTTTAGTTCCTTTTTGGAGAACTTCCTTCAGCTCCTGCCAGGGGCGTTTGTAAGGAGGAGCAGACTGGGGTGGTGGGTCAGCTGCATGGTGTGCAATTCCCGCCTCATCTCTCAGTTCCCACCTCATTCCCACCTCACCAGCTGGCCTCCTCTACTTTGTTTTTCATCCTCTGAGCATAGTTTAGGCCTCACTTTGGTATTTTCCGGCAGAGTATGGGCCTTCACCTCCCTGACTCTGTGCAGATTGGGGTCACATCTTTGTCCTTGCATATGTGGTCTTATATATATATAATTTAATTTTTGTTGTTGAGAATATACACAGCAGAACATACAACAATTCAACAGTTTTTACACGTACAATTCAGTGACACTGACTACATTTTCAAGTTGTACAACCATTCTCACCCTCCTTGTCTGAATTGCTCCTCCTCCATTAACATAAACTCTCAGCCCCTTACTTGCCTGTCTAATCTTTCGAGTTGCTTTTGTCAGTTTGATCCCATGTAGTTCTTAAAAGAGCACAATACTCAAGGCAGACGTGGTCTTTACGTATGTGGTTTGGTGCTTTGAAAATCTGAGCTCAAAAAAACAAAACAAAACATCAGCACTCACTCTAGTGGGAGGTATTGAACGGGGTATAAACTCTGCCTTGTGGAGGGTATGCCTCTGAACCTCTCTACTCAGCTGGCTCCTGTAGAGCTGTCCTTCGTTGCCTTTGGTGACAGAATCTTGTTTCTGACCACTCAACCTTTCTCCTTCATAGACTCTCCACTGAGTATGTTGGGGGGCTCAACTCCCCCCAGATGACTACCTGTTCTCGTAAGAGTTTTCACCAGCTTTCAGCCTATTGGATAGCATCAGGTGGGAGACCCAAATTGTCTTAAAACTGCAAAACGTGGTTCAGCATCTGCTCCCCTAATTGAAATGAAGCTCATCCTCCTGCTTTCCACTTTTCTGGCAAGCCATCTTAGACTCTGACAGATGTCCCCCTTTCTTGAGGTCACCCTCAGCCTCTAACGTCCTCTGTTACTAACGTGGTTTGCTCCTGGCTGCTGGGTCTTTCTAAAGCACAGCTTTGATCCATTGGTCCAGAATCTTTCTGACCCTTGCAGTTTGAAAATTGTGCCTAGTGCTCCTGAACTTCTGCTCAGAAAACCTTAGGTGGTCCCCATTGCTCTAGTCAGGGGCAGATCCAGGTTCTGTGGAGCCTAAAGCAATTTTGGGAGACCTTTTCAAGACAAAATTACAAAACAAAATTGCTAGGGGCTTGCAAAGGGCCTGTGCAAGTGAGGGACCCTGCAGCTTAAGCTTCATTACTGTCATGGTATATCCACCCCAGCCTAGTGGTTCTGGAACTTTAGTGTGCCCAAGTATCACCTGGGGGAACTTGTTTAAAATGTGTTATTTCCAAGCCCCCGTAATTCTAATACAGAGCAGTCTAGGATCAAGCCTTAGAATCTGCATTTTTAGCAAGCTCTCCAGTGATTCTGCTCTGATGCGGGTGGCTGTGGACTTCACCATCATTAATCAAGCCGGAACTAGGAGATCCTCACCCTCTGGCCCCAATCCCACCTTTGTCCCACCACTTCCTACTGGTCATGCATTGCCTTAGGGCAGTGGTTCTCAAACCTTGGTGTGGAACAGAATTTCGTGGAGACGTCATGAAGGCACAGAGGACCAGGCTTGTTGACATCTGGCTCTTTGCATTTTTACCAGGTTTTCCAGGTAATTCTGGTTTCCACCAAAGCTTGAGAACCACTATATTGTTCTCCATCCTTTCCTTACACAGGCTAGTCTCCTGCTTGCCATTTGACCCACCTGGAATGCTCTTCCTACCCCTCTCCACCTCAGAGCCAAGCGTCCATGCACCTTTCCCTATATCACTCAGACCCACTGTGAATTAGTCCTTCCCTTAATTTCATCTGTATCGCTCATCTGATCCTAATCACATCCCATTTTGCACAGGAGTGATTTTTTCTTGTGGATATTCCATTTCCTCACTCCTCTTCATGGAATCTTTGTGTTGGGAGGGCCCTTGGAGGTCATCTAGTACAAGTCCTTCTCCCCCAAGGTGGGTGGATAAGCGGGGTGCAGTGAGGGCAGAGGAGAGTTCCCGAGTACTGAGAACAGGTGCTCATCCTTGACCAGAGTTCCCTCTACCCCAGGGGAGGAAGCTGCTGGGGGTGACAGGCTCATCCACGAGCGGGACATGGCCTGGCTGCAGCAGGCTGACGGTGAGTGGTCCTCCCTCAACCCACAAACTCCTCTGGGATGATGGCTTCCCTGGACATCCCTGGCCTCCACACCCAGAAGGGACTCCCTTGAGCTCCCCTCTTGCCACCACCAGACTCTGTAATCTCTTCCTTACGAGCCCCAAGTGCCACATAATACAAGGCCTTTTTCTTAGTCTCCTCTTTCTTCCCAGTGGTTGTAGCAGAAGTGACACAGCCGTCCTTGGGTGTTGGCTATGAGCTGGGCCGGGCTATGGCCCTCAACAAGCGAATCCTGTGCCTCTTCCGCCCACAGTCTGGCCGAGGTGAGCACTCCAAGCCCTGGATGGCCACCCCTCCCCTCCACCAACATTCTGAGCACCCATCCCTCATCTCCTGCCTTGGTGGGCTCTGAGTACAACCCCCAACAAGGGACAGGAGGAGTTGGGGGGACATGGAGAGAGGCACCATCACTTTCCTCTGCCCTTCCCAGTGCTTTCAGCCATGATCCGGGGAGCAGCTGACGGCTCACGGTTCCAGGTGTGGGACTACGAAGAGGCAGAGGTGGAGGCCATGCTGGATCGATACTTTGAGGCTGAACCTCTCCAGCATGTGGCTGCCTCTCATGACTTAACTGCTTGAATTAATCCCACTTTATTTAATTCTTCTGGTCCCCGACACTGCTCTTAATACCATTCCTGCTCTTAGCCCCAGTACCAAATTAAAAGATATGTTTAAAATTCTAACTTTACATCTGTATATGTGGTTGGGGTGGGGTGGGGCAGGTCCGCAGTAATATCCTCCCTACCCTACTTCATTTTAAGTGTGTAGGCCCCCCAAGAGAAGGATACCTCCTAATACCCTCAAGCCCCCACCAGGAACAGTGACAAGTTCTGAGGAAGGCTAGTAGTGGGGATCGCTGTGCCTCACTCTGTCTCCTCTGAAGCTGGACTGGGTCAGGATGGTGGCCATCTGTACCTGGCCCTGTACTATGTGGGCCTTCATTTCCCTGTGTCAGTTCTGAGCCCTTCTCTGAGGACAGAAGACTCTACAGGTTTACAGAAAACAGCAAAGAATAAGGAGGGTTGTTGCGGGGGAGTGGGGGAGAGACTTGAACCTGGCCCTTGGTGAAGCTGCCTAGCTCACTTCCTGAAAGGTATGTGAAAAAAGTTTATTCAGTAAACAGAAGAAGGTTCCGCAGACACTAGGAGTCACGCTTCGCCCAGGAACAGCGGGAGGGGGTGAGGTTCCCTCCCCACCTTCAGCCCCACTACACAGGCAGCTCCAGGTGTTCCCTGTGTCTGGCCCCTCAGTCATAGGCCTCGTCATCCTCCTCCTCATCCCCAAAGAAGAAAGTCTCTCTGTCCAGGTTCTCAGACTCTTCATCATAGGAGAAGCTGTCGTTGTCCAGCTCCTCATCAAACTCGTCTTGCTGCCACTCAGGCACATCGTCCTCATCCTCATCATCTTCCTCCTCCTCATCCTCATCCACCTCCAACCCTGAGGAGCCCTGGGGCCTGGGGAAAGCCACCACACTCAGTCCCAAGGAAGCCTGCCATCTCCCACTCCCACTCCGTGGCTGGGACCGCCCTACTCACTGACTGCCAGGCATGTTGGAGCCTTTTGCCTCCTGGGCCTCTAAACTTGATGGACTCTGGAGACCAACCCGGAAATCCTAGCAAGAAGACAAAGGATATGGGGCAGGAAAGTAGACAGTAGGTCTTTGTGCCTAGTATTCCTTCAACTAATATTTTCTGAGGGCCTACTAGGTGCCAGGCCCCTCCTAGGAATGCACTCACCTCTCCCTTCCCTCACCACAGCACTCACAGACCACTGCCTTGTGTGTGATTTAATGCAGAGACAGTCTCCAGGGATATGCAGTGAGGACAATACCCCTGCACTTAAGGAACTTACAATGTGCGTTTATGTCTTGTCTGCTCAACCAGTCAGTAAGCTCCCTGAAGGCAGGATTCATAGACTCAACATGAGTGCATTAAAACTGGAAAAAAGCTCAGACATCCCATACTCCAGGGGATCCCGATCCTAGCTCCCACTCCTGGGATTTTGAATCTACACATCTGGGAAGTATAGTCTGAAAAAAGTCCCCAAGTGATTCTGATGAGTACCTGGCCAAACACCCTTGATATGGGATAACCAACCCCTTTATTTGGGGACTCGGGGAGTGTAAGTGACAGGACCCAACATCATTCCATGAGGCGGCCTGGGAACAAAGACATGTACCCAGGCTTCCCAACCTCCATTCACCTACATGGCCTTTCCTTCTGGATTCCCCCCAGAGCATGGCTGTGCCGAGCACAGGGGGAGGAGAGGTGCAGGGTTGGGGGCTACCTGGGTGGAATGCTGTGGAGCATGGGGGGAAGAGAGGCACAGGGTGGGGGGCTACCTGGGTGGAACGCCGTAGAGTGTGGGGGGAGGAGAGGCGCAGGGTAGGGGGCTACCTGGGTGGAATGCTGTGGAGCATGGGGGGAGGAGAGGCGCAGGGTTGGGGGCTACCTGGGTGGAATGCTGTGGAGCGTAGGGGGAAGAGAGGCACAGGGTGGGGGGCTACCTGGGTGGAATGCTGCAGAATGGCCAGCAGCCGCTCCTGGATGCGCTGTAGCAGCTCCATGCCAGTGTTGAGGCAGTCTGCCCGCAGCAGGCGCAGCGAGGAGGCCAGGTCTCTGCACCGCAGCAGGGTTTCCTCTACAGAGGGGGCACAGGTCATGGGGCTGCTGCCCCTTCTTTCATTCTCATCCACTCCTTCCTTCAACAAATGTCTAGTGAAAGTCTACCAAGTGCCCAGAGCTCTAGACCCTCATTCTCATGGATGTTCTATTCTAGTCGGGGGACAGACCACCATCAAATAAAATGATAGGTGAGATCTGTGCACGAAGGCACTCACAGCACATACTTTAAAAAAGCCAGATGGCGGGCTATGAAGACTTGAGTAAGAGGACAGATTGCAGGTGGTGTGCAGGGCAGAGGGACACGGTTTTACCCACTTGCGTGTCTGGCTGGGGGTGGGGTGCTCAGAACAGGCCGGGAGAGAAGGGTGGGAGAGAGGATGCAGCAGGCAAAGGCTGGGGCAGGGCCTCACCGAGGAGGATCTGCAGGGCATTGGTGTGCAGCTCCAGGTTCTCGGTCTGCTGCTCCACCACGTCCATGTACTCGGTGTTCTGGTTGTAGAAACTGTACACGCAGGCATAGGCCAGAACCTGGGGGAGTGCAGGTCAGCCCTCCCGTTGCCCAGGCTTGGCACCTCCTCACCCCACCTGCCTCTCCTCATTCTCTCCATCCAGGCATGGTGGATGAAAGGAGCCAAGCCCACCAGCCCCCGTGGCACACCCTTCTGCCCTTCCCTGTCCCCTACCCGCCACCACCTTTCGAGCCTGCTCCAGTCCCCGGCAAGCATCGTTGAGGAAGGCAAAGGATTTCGGCGGGGGCACCTCATGGATAGCAGATACTCTGTTCCGCAAGTTGACAGCAAATTCCTGTCCAGAGGAAGGCACATCAGCACCAGCCCGGCCCTACCCATCAGCGCAGCACCCCACCCATCCCTAGACAGCTGCTCCCATCCTCAGACCTCCTCCCTGGCCCCGTCTCCTGCCTGCTCACCCGGGCCTGGAGGTGGAAGGTGCACCTCTCGTTGTAGTCCTGGAACCGCTTCTCCTGGCGAGCGGCTTTGCTGACCTGGGAAGGACATGGTGCTTGGCTTGGGCAGGATGAAGTTAGCAAGTATAATACGTACCATTTACGGAGGCCCTTCTACACTTTACCTAGGTTTCTTCATCTAATCCTCATAACTTTGTGAGGTAGGTGCTATTGTTATCCCCTTTTACACATGAGGACGCTGAGGCCTGGAGACGTAAACTGACTTGCCCAAAGCCACACACTGAGTGGTGGGGCCAGGATCTGCCTCCAGAGTCCTTGCTTGTGTCTGCTCTGCCTGGTGCCTCCCTGAGAATGCCCAGCCCTCCCGCCCTCTCTGTAGCCACTGTAGTATGAGAGTCCTGTTCTGGGGCTGAAAGGCCCTTGTGGACAAACCTCCTTGTACACAACTCCCAGTCCCTGTAGCCCTAGTTGCTTGTCTTCTCTGCACTGAGCCTTTGTCCCAGCAGCTGGGAGGCTGCTCTGGACACAAAGCCTCTTTGCCCAGGGCCGAGCATCCCATCCCAACTAACTGTGGTCCTCTGCCTCATCCAGTGCCCACCCCTTACCATGGCAGAGCAATTGTAGTAGTCTTTGTGATTTGGCTTCCAGGACTTGAGGCAGCGCCAGCAGAATCCGTGGTTACATTTGGCACAGGTCATGCTATGAAGGAAGCTCGCTGGTTAGGGGCTTCTGCCTCTGGCAGGGCCACACCAGGAATGCCAAGGCCCTGGAGGGCACTGAAGATGCGCTGGTCTCTGTCCCCTCTCCATGCCATCCCTACTGAATGCACCCTTGCCTTTGCATTCCCCCAGGCAGTGTAGACTAAAGTGGGACAAGAACATTAAGATCCAGGGAATCACTCTGGAGAGTGCCGAGTGAGGGTGGCTGAGTGACTTGTTTGCCTTGTTTGATAAGGCCCACTGCCCCTTCCCTACTGCTGGTCTTCCCACTCTCTCTGACCTCCTGCTTGCCCTCTGAACACTCCACTGCCCACAGTACCCCCTTCTTACTGCAGACACCCCTCGTTCTTCTCAATGGGAGCCTGACAGCTGGGACAACGCTTGGAGATGAGTTTGGCCAGGTGCTTGCTCTGGGCTTCCACGCTCATTCCATCGTAGTAGCCGCCATCATCAACCCACTGAGACATGTGGCCACAGCTGGCAGGGTAGTGTGCCTAGAGTAGGAGGGGGCAGTGAGGACATGCAGGGGTGAGGGCAACACTGCTGGAGTGCATGGGTTAGAGGGAGGAAGAAGGCACAGACCACATTTGGAGGAGCACCTAAAAGTGCTCCACTGGGTGCAAGGGGTGAGGAAGGACAAGTCAGACTGTGGGTGTGGTGGTGGGGGTGAGAAGGGGAGCTGTGTGAATCCCTGCTCACGGTCAGGGTTGGGTGGGCACCCACCTCAGGGAAGCTACAGCTGAAGCAGGAGGCCCAGCCACACTTGGAGCAGGCGGTCCCACAGCCCAGGCCCTGGCGGCACAGGATGCGGTCACAGCCCTGGGGGTTGGTGCACCAGGTCAGGTTGGAGCAGCTCTCCACATAGCCACGCAGGAGGGCCTTCTCGTACTGTGGGACATGGGTGGCAGGGGTAAAGGCATGGCTCTCCAGGATGCCAGCCCCTTCCTTACTTCCCAGCACCCCACGTGTCAGCCCACTCCCTGGGCTGACCCTTCAGCTCTGTGCTAGAGGCTTTCTTGGAGGAGAGTGGATACCTTGGAGATGACCTCTGGAGAGGAGACAATGGCACGAATGAAGGCCCCGGTGGGCTGGGCAGGGCAGTCGGCAATGGGGCAAGTGCAATTCAGCACAAGGTTCTGCTCAATTCGAGTTGTCAGATACTCATTCCAGCAAGACTGCGGAGGGACAGAGGTAGGGCTGCTCAGAGGTAGCATGGGAGCAGCATGAGATGAAGGTGTCCTGGAGACTAACCTAGGATCCCACCCTACCCTGCCCCTCCATGACAATCTGAAAGGCCAGAAACAAACCTGCTTCTAGATCAGCTTCAAAACCAATCCTAATCTTTCCAGCTTCCATGGATTTCCAGGGATTGGTTTTGAGGATGTGTGGGCTAGGGTATGAGCCTAATTACTTCTGGGATG